AGAGAGAGATTGGTGACTTTGGGATGTTGACGACATTTTGGATACAGACTCGACTTTGGGATTGAGACATTGACGAGGGACTATTTGGGATCGATACCAGTGACACTTGTGTGATGACATTCCCAAGTTCTCCCTCATCTTTGTCTAATCCCCCCTCCTCTTCGTCTGTGCATGTTTTGGGACTGGCGCATTCTTCCTGTGTGAGCGCCAGGGCTCTTCACACCATGCGATGATGATGATGTATGTTTGGTCTGCATTGTGACATCTGCTGCGGTATCTTGTACTATGTGAGAGAGGTCGGTTCTTGTTCTGGTCTGTACCATTACGGTATGCGATAGTTTGGTATCGGAGCAGATCTCTCAATCAGAGGATCTGCCCAATCAAGGAGCCTGCTTGAGTTATTGATTGATCGCTAGTTTGATGATTGCTTGAATCAAGTAGGGTCCCGTTAAATCCCTGCAATTTTTTTTTCTTTCTTTTCTCTTGCAACAAATGTCCAAAAATTTCTGATAGTAGCATTTCGTTGTCAATTTTTTCGCGACAAATATCCGAAATTTCTGATATTAGCAGTTCATTTTAAATATCCGAAAATTTCTGATATTAGCAGTTCGTTTGAAATACCCGAAAATTTCTGATAGTAGCATTTCGTTTCTAGGCATATGAAGTTAATGACAGAGGTTGTCATATTCTCGGAAACTGGATTGATTCTTTTCTGAAAATTAAATCTCCATTCTATTTCGCAATTTTTTTGAAAGCCGAAATTTAGCGAAGCCTTGCCTGGATCTTACTCTTAGCACTCCTCAGTAAATGCCTCACTGATATCAAATCGACAGATTTTCAAAAAAAAAAAAAAAGGTGGAGGGGGGGGGGGGGTGATCCTCTTCTTTTATTTTATTTTAATTCTGTTGATTAGGACCAGGAATGGAAAAGTGCAGTTTGGTTACCTTCCTGGGTTTCCCTCCCACCCAGCCCTGCGCCTGCGTTCTGGTTTGTTAAGTGCCAGGTCAGCAACAGTGCCAAGTCAGCAGTGCCACATCAGCAACAGGGCCACATCAGCAGTGCCACATCAGCAACAGTGCTACATCAGAAATGGTGCTATGTCAGCAACAGTGCCACATCAGCAGTGCCATGTCAGCAGTGCCACGTCAGCAGTGCTGCGCTGCCATGATGGTTTCATCGTCGGGCATGCCAGGCCAAATGGCCAACGAGTCCATTGGCGAGTACCATCAGCGGGTTCTAGGTCAGCTCGCACTGATCGAGGCTGAGGTACAGCGCCAGGTGGCAGCCTAGGCTGCCCACCTACAGGCTGAAGAAGAGGCAGCAGCTGAAAAGCAGCGGCTTCAGGCCGAAGCAGAAGCGGATACTCAGGCCTTCCACAATGAGGCCCAAGAGCTGCTGCAGCGGCACGAAGCCGCCAGCGTCGACAGGCTCAAGTTCTGGCATTTTGAACCATCCAAGGGCCACAACGATGCGGCACCGGAAGAGCAGCACAGGGAGTTCCTCTCCAAACTCGCGACCCGGTTGGTTTACACTTGTAACCACCTGCAGTCCGAGTTAGAGAAACAGCACCAGGAACTGGCAAATCTCCGACGGGCAGTGCAGAACCACAAGGATCTGCACGAGGGTGCTACAAGGGCACTTGATTCCCGTGTACAGGACTTGGCGCAAGCCGCACCAAGACCAGATGATGGCGCGTCCAGCAGTGCACCCTCTACCCGCCAATTGGAGGAACGAGTTGACCATGTAGTTGCAATGCTCGGCAGCATCAGCACCTTCGCCGCACCAGCCACCATCCGCAAGCAGCTGGACACCTTGAAGACTGAGGTTCTGCAACTGCACCAGCTGCCCAACAAGGATGGCAACACCAGTGCGCGGCAGTACAAGATGCCAACATTCTGGATCGAAAGTTCGATGATTATACGCATCAAGACCCGGTCCCCTGGTGGGAGGGCTTTACCACGAAACTTCGGATTCAT